TAATAGCTCTGATTATTATGAGTTGTGCCTTTTAAAGCGAAGGAAGGAAGAACAACTGGAGGATGTGAAGAAGGGGTGGTTGAATGAGAGAAGGCTGTGGCTGCTGTGAGCAATGTTGACATCTCTTTGAGCTAGGCAGACACCAAGCGCCAATCACCTGCTCTGGTAATCTTGACACACAGCATGAAGTCAAGAACGTCCCATGTTTTAAGCTAACCTGACCTCAATCTTTTATACACAACCCTGGAGCCAACACATAGGGTTTCAAAGGGAAATAATATTGGAGTAATGTCAATTTTATTTTAATCACACCATTTGACTCTAGGACGCTTTCACTTTTAATGCTATATTCTGTATTGTTTGTATTTTTTAACATGGATTCATTTACTAATCAGGTCATTGAAGAGGAGGTTATACACTTATGGGTGGCCTATCAAATAAATGGACCCCCTGCCTTCACACTTTGTTCCAATCGGTCCTTAGAACTTGGCCAATCAGATTGCTCATCTTTCTTCTTCAGGGAAAACAGTGAAGGGGCAGTGGATGGACATAAGAACAAACTCCTTCCCTATAATAAGAGGGGAAAAAAGCAATATGGGACAAACAGAAGCAAGGGAATAGAGGCACTTGATAGCCTAGTGTGTGCAGAACAACACTCACCCCTGTTTATAAGTGCTGGGGAGTTTTGACCCCTCCCCTCAAGGACATGATTGGAAGCTAGACCTCAAGAAAAGCTTTCAGGTCAGATCCAGCTTGAATCATCTATGCCCTGTGTTTTATTTTGCTTTGGGTTCCCAAAACCAGGAGTAGGGGGACGCACTGACAGTCAGCAGGGACAGACCAGGGGTGATGCTAAAACACCCCACAACACACAGGACAGCACCCCCCCTCCAAAGAGTTATCTGACTCCTAATGTCAATAGTGCAAGACTGAAAAGCCCTGCTGGAGAGTAAAGCATGAACCAGTAGGGAGCAGGTAAGAGAGGAGCCTCATTAAAACTGGATAGTGGGAAACCGGATTTTTCGCCAAGGAGTTAGCAACGCTTAGAAGAAAAAGTTGCTGAAATCATGATAGAGGAGGCCATGACTGGATGCAGCAAAATCCCTTAGAATTCTGCTATGAACGCCCAGAGAGAAATGTCAAGCCTAAGCTAGAAGGGATCCCCAGAAGGGGCTCAGGGAGAGAATAGTCAACACATGTGTAAGATGTCAAAACCAGCAGGTACTGGAGAATGATTGATTGTAGGAGGGTGGAGGAGTGCTGGACTTGAATGATTGGGTAGATTATGTTTAGAGGCACTGAATACAAGAAGAAGGGGAGAGTTGAGGTGTCAAAATAATGCATCTAGATAGACATTTTAGAGAGATCTCGGGGATTCTCTGGAGGAGGTACCTAGATGGTAGAATCCACTCAGCCAGCAACTACTGTACTAGCAACGATCAGTAGTTAACAGTTAGAGCCTAACTGTGATTAGCTCCATATGCAAGCAAACTCTTAGATAGAGATTTAGCTCCCCAGTTGAAGAAGAAATTTGGTATTACTTTGGAGGAGGTCTCAAAGAGCCTTAATGGTTCTGTAATTTCATGAGATGGAGGGTTTCCCCTTTTGAATCTGGAGTCAACTACACTTAGAGTTCCTCTTGAGGGAACTATACCTGTGGAGCTAATTAAGGTAAATAGGTTGGCAAAGGTTTCAGCCAACTACTCAAGCAAAGTTAAAATAATTTGGGCAACAGAGCTTTTCTTCTGGAGCCCTTACAGCCTTCAAAGGTGGGAGGTTTTTAGGCTTGATGAAAGTATTGGAGTGCAGCAATGAAGGGGGCTGGAGACAGGAAAATGCAGAGAGGTAAGGCAGGAACTTCGGTGGTCTGTTTAGTAACCAATTCACACACGTGATTCCGAATGTCTTCGGACTCAAATGCTACCAAGGAAGAGCAGTCTCCAAATCTGCATGATTAGCATCCCTGTCGTTGAGCCCAAAACAAATAAAAAAATACTTTATGTAGTTTAGTTTTGGGAAAGGATAAGTTGTTTTTGAAACAGTTATAACTTAATGAGTCCTTAGATTCTTGACCTCCGTTATATCTGAGATAACATCTTGATAATATGGCCTGGGATTTATTTATTTATTTTTGTTGCTTTCTGATCTCTTTTATGAAGCAAGAGATAAAAGGTTGTTCTTGGATAGTCCAGAGACATGGTAATATAACCACCATTTGTTAATACTGTAAATAGTTATTAATGAGGCCTTCAGAATAAAATATGTTCCATAAATTTTTGTAGGTAATAAATTTGTTCCCTTCAGTTTAACTTTATCCCTGAAATCTTACAGACTTAATTACATACGGGGGCAGAGGTGGGTAAGGATGTAGTTCAATGATTGAGCCCTTGCCTACCATGTATAGGGCCTTTGGGTTCAATCCTTAATACCACACATACACCAAAAAGTCACACAGGCAATAGACGCAAGGACAATTTTGAAAGTTCAGATCAAGTTTAAGGGGAAAATATTTACTCTCCACCAGTCTTTTTCTATTCAACACAAAGATGAAGATAAGTTCCGAAGAACTAATTCTCCCATCATCAGAACACTGCTGCTGGTTGGGTTGGAAACACAGGGAGAGTTCACAGCTTGTCCCACGGCGGCCATTTACCTTTATTGGGCTAGGATTCTAAGTGAGTTTGACCAGACCCTTTCGTCTTTAATTCAGACGGTCGTTCCTGGAGAAGTACCTTAAAAGGAAGAATCTAACTATTACAGTTTCCTAATGGATGCTGCCCTGGCAGAACCGCTGCCAATCCTGGCACTTGAGTGCCCTGAAATTATGTCAGCTAATGAATAATTAGAAAACACAAAGTTCAGAAGGCTGTCAAAACACAGAATCATCTGAGGTATTGTACAGCCTAATAGAAAAGCTCTATGTGAAAAGGCCCAGACGGGGCCTCACCAGGAGCTGTGTTACTCTTTACATTCTGTGAAATCCAGAGAGGATTTTTATTCCTCTAGTAAGTGCCATTCCTGTTTTCACACCGCATCCGTCTGTACAGCAGTCTCCTGACCCCGTCTCTGAGGCCTCCCAGTTAGAGACTGGAGAGCCAAGTCCAAACCCCTGAGTCATCTTTCTAATAATCGTGGAGAAGGGGTTAATCCTGATCTGAAAATCAGTCTAACCTTTATCATTACACTGTTCTACATCCCATAATGCTAAGTTCAGGAAACCAAACCTAATAAGGCAAACTCGTTTTTCTTCCTGATTTAGTTCCTTAAAAAAAAAAAAATGACAACAAAGCAAACAAACAAAAACTCTCTCTTCTCCTCAGGACCAGTGAGTCATCAAATCCCACCAGTCCCTCCCTCGACATCCTTGCTGGTGTGACCTGCGCATCCTCTGTGCTTCTTGAGGTCTGGTTAATCATGACAGCACCTCTGGTCCATCCAGACTGATCAGAGGACAACCCACACTACCCACACTCTGGCTCCTAGGTGAGTCATGCACACTGGAGTTTGAAGACTACATCCCCAGAATAAATGAGTAGCTTCTCTCGGTCCCTCCTACCACCATTGCTCACTGGACTCTCAAGTCTAACCAGCAGTGTCTACTGATGTCTCAGTTAGTCTTGCACTCTTTTGGTCTCTCCTCAGCCCCTCGCCACTCAGTTCCCATCTGGAAACCACCAACAGATTAGAGCCTCTCTCTACCACACATGTTCCTCACCACACCTTCCAGCCAACCTATCACCCTCCACTCAAAATGACTACGGGATCCTCAGTACCTGCTAAAAAATCATAGTAGGGGTTGGAGAGATGGCTCAGTCAGTAAAGTGTTTGCCTTACAAATATGAAAAGCTGAGTTTGATCCCCAACATCCACGTGAAAATGCCAGGCATATGCTTAGACTCAATCCCCCAGCTCTGGGGATGCTGAAACAAGAGGGACTCTGGGACTTAGTGGCTGGACCATCAGCTAGTTCCAGGTTCAGTGAGAGACTCTCTCAAAAATAAGGTGGAAAGCAATTGAGGAAGACACCAGACATTGACCTCTGGCCTCTGCATACATGTGTACAGGAACCTGCACACACAGACACACAAACATACACACACACAGACACACAAACATACACACACAGACACACAAACATACACACAGAGACAAACAAACATACACAGACACACCAAAACATTAAGTTTTTTAAAATGCTCTTTTTTCTTTTGTTTTTGTTTGGTTGGTTGGTTGGTGGGTTGGTTGGGTGGCTGGCTTTAGTTTTTCAAGAAAGTTTCTCTGTATAGTCTTCTTGTCTGTCCTGGAACTCAATCTCAGAATATTCTGCAAGCACTCTACATAAAATTGCTGTCATAATTGTCCCTAATTTACAGAAGAAATAACTAAGGTTGAACAAGTTTTGGAAACTTTCCCAACCAACTAACAAATCAGAGAAGTAGGTCCAAGTCTGCAGCACACTGCTTCGTGTTGACCCAATGTCTTCTACACAGGCGTGCAAGAGGAAGACGCCTTTGTCAACCCAAGAGCTGGGCAGGGAATTCGCATCCAGTTCATCCTCCTTAACCACAAACAAGTCTGAAGCAAGGTTCTGCTGTTAATACCCCACATCTTACAGATGAAACTAGGAATTAGAGAAAAGTGAACCAAAATTCAGTTAATGGCAAGCCTAATACACTTTTTACCTCCTAGTAATATTTTTCCTTCCCTACATTCCTGTGTGCCCTAGTTTTACTATCCTTTTGTTTGTTTGTTTGTTTGTTTGTTTTTGTTTTTCAAGACAAGCTTTCTCTGGATAGCTTTGGCTGTCCTACCTCTGTAGACCAGGCTGGCCTCGAACTCACAGAGATCCACCTGCCTCTGCCTCCCCAGTGCTGGGATTATAGACGTGTGCCACCACTGCCTGGGCAATTTTACTGTCTTTTAAGGAAAACACCAAGCTTCCCCGCTTTCCTGCGGTTAGCCGTCCTCTCCTGTCGAATCTCGCCCGTGTCTGCCCTCACTTTCCTTTGGGCTCCGGTCTCCAGTGCCCTTGCGCATGTGCCGATGAGTCTGTGTGGCAGGCCGGAACACGCTTCCCTCCAGCAACTGGGTATTGTTCTTGAATCTTTAGAAGATTGATCTAAAGAGACAAGGAAATTAGAGGCACGGTGGCAAGAAATTTTAATGTGAATATTCATGAGCAGAAAAGAAAGGCAAGTGTGATCATTAAAAATTGAAATAAGAACTATTACCCCTGGTAAGAGTCTGAAAAACAGACAAAAATTAACATTTACTATTTTATTACTTCTCCTAAAATCAAACAAAACCTTGTTAGGAGTTAATTTTCATGCAGGATGTCCTCTGAATTTCCTGCTAGCTCAGTGGTCACTTTCTTCCATGTTGTCTACAACATTCCCTCTATGTTCTATTCCTTGATAGCCATTACCCATTATAAACAGTCCTTCTGAGTGGCTCCCATCTGTAATAGACCCAGAATGACCCCAGTGTATTCCAACTTTTTCTCACACCCTACCCTATGACATCTCAACAAATGCCACACCTTAAATGAAATGAAATGCAAAGGAAATGAAGTGGCATACTTGGATTAAATGTTTTAAGGACTCTGGAAACACTAGTAAACCACGGACAAACCCTAGGTGTCTTCCTCAGCCTCTCTCCATCTTACTTTTAGATACATGGTCTCTCACTGAGCCTGGGTCGGGTTGATTCACTAGCAAGCCCCTGCGGTCCTCTTGTCTCTACCTCTTCAGCATGGAGAACACAGGCGTACGTCACCACACCTGGCTTTTTATGTGGGGTGAGGGGATCAGAACTCAGTTCCTTGGGCTTGCACAAAAAGCACTTTACTGCCTGAGCCATTGCCGTAGTCCATATACGGTCTTAGAATTCAGTAAGTGTTGTCTGAATACTGATTCTCACATTTAAATCAAGATCAGCAACTGTTGCTTTAAATCTTTTCTTTAAAAAGAAAAATGTGCTCTAAAAACTGAGATCCAAAGTATGTTCCCAAGAGTATTCAGAGACTAGCTTTCAAATGGGACATAGCTTGTGGCCTTAATCCTTTCAGGCCTCTCTAGTAGAACTCCCATTAGAGAAAATTTGAAGTACTTGTTGTAAATTAAATACAACAAAAAGTCAGAAACAAACTTCAGATATGTTATAAGTTTTTTTTCTATTCCCTTCAAAAGATCATTGGAAACAAGTGGACAGGCATTATACATGCAGTGCTGTGAGCTCACTAAGGGCCTTAGAGTCAGTGGTTTAAAGCTAGACTACACATTTCCCAGCAAGTGGCACAGTGCCCATCACATGATACCGCTTTACAAACATTTGCTGGGTAGATCATCTCTCCCAATTTTGCAGATGAGGAAATTGGGGCCCTACACAGTCCAATGACTTAACATAAGCCACACAGTGATCTTGTACCAGACCATACCAGAATTGCAGTCTACCATCCTTTATTTGGTGTCATGGCTGTCTATTGATTTCAACATAAGCAAATGTGTTGGGGTTGGGCTAGAAGTAAATGAATAGTAAAATTAAAAATGAGCTGCCTGGGGACTGTTTTCATAACACCTCATCAGAAGTTACACATTCAAAAACACAGTTGTACTTAAGACTGGGATGAGAGCATCCACTCCAAAACCAATTAAAACTCTTCCAGGAATAAACAAACAGAGCCCATTCTGTACAACTGATGGCCAAAATGATAATTATAGGGATAAAAATCAGTTTTTAGTGATAGAAAATTAGCCCATATAAGGAAAACATATAAAACTACAGAATGCAGCAGGTTGGCTATAAACTGAAATCTAGACCAAATATCACTTGAGGATACTTTGAAAAAGACTCCAGTGGTAATAAAAATGCTTTTTATGACACATTTTTAAAACACAAAATGGACTGGAGAATCTGCATAATGATTTAATAATTCAGGTCTAAAAGAAGTACATTTGGAGAAAACCATCAGATAACAACTGGAGTTAATTAATCATTTTCCTTGGTCATCATGGGGGTGGGGAATAATCCAAGGAAGATTCATGAAGCTTTGTGAGTGTTTTTGGTATTTTTTCAAGCCTACTTTGGTGTCACATAGTGCAAACACCCATGAGTGTGCAGGAAACTGGTGAATAGTGAATAATATGTGTAAAGTACATACTTGTACCGCTGAGAGGTAACTATTCTCAAAGCTATACTATGACACCACTTCAGTCAGAGAAAGGACAGAAAAATGCCTTGAAGACTATTGGCCTAGAAGAACGTTGCAGCCCAAAATCCAATTAAAATACTGCTAGCTAGCATCAAGCAAGGTGCTGGGGGTGGGCAGAAAACACGGCTGAATTCCATCCTAGGGGAAAACTCATCTCTGCCTGCTTATTTTAGTAATAACGTAAAGGAACTGAACAAGGACAGGCAAAACAGAGAGAACGAAAGCAAGTAGAGACAGCATGGAAGGAACATAGACCATCAAGACACTCTCTTGAAAGTTGTGCTAATCAAAGAAGTTACATAAAACTCTGGCATTCCAGTCCGGTCTGTGAAAGATGCTGCCATTTTGCTACATAAACACACTGAAGAAAATATGAGCTTCTCTTAACAACGGGTGCTGGGGAAATTGGATTTCACGTGTACAAAACTAAATCTCTCTCTGTCTCTGTCTCTCTCTGTCTCTCTGTCTCTGTCTCTCTGTCTCTCTCTGTCTCTCTGTCTCTCTCTCTGTCTCTCTCTCTCTCTCTCTCTCTCTCTCTCTCTATCTCTCTGTCTCTCTCTCTGTCTCTCTCTCTCTCACCCTGTACAAAAATCAGCTCAAAATGCACGTAAAGCCTTTGCAAAAGGCCCTGGACCCCATGAGCAGAAAGCATAGCGGGGACATGTCAAAACAGATCTAAGCAATGCTTTGCTGAGTACAACTGCAGCTGTTCAAGAAACCGAAACAGTACTAAGAGCTAGAAATGCATCAAATTACCACATTTCAACCTAACAAACAGAACATGTAAGAAAGTAAAGAAACAACCTATAGGATGGAAGAAAAATCCCCCAGCTATTTATCCAACAAAGGATTAATATCCAGAATACATATAGAACTAAAAAAAAAAATACCAAATAGTAAACAAGGCAACCAATGAACAGGTCAATGATGAGACAGACACTTCTCAAATAAAGAGCGTGTGCAGATGATCCAATGACCGTCTTTTACCCCATGGATCACCAGGGTTGATTCTCCTGACCTGATTGGCTGGGCTGGTGTCCCATTCCTCCCTCACTGCTCCCTGTGCATCACCCTGCAAAGCTGCACTTTCTCAAACAGAAGAGGACCAGTCTTCAGTCAAGGGTATCCAAGCAGCTGTGCTCTCCTGCTGGAACCGCCTCTAGCAGTTCAGGCTCTCAATGAAGGAGAGCCATCGGCCAACATAATGAAAACTGTTCACCACCTCGAGTCACCAGGGAAATGCAAAGGAAAACTACACTGAGATCCTACCTCACCCTGTCAGGATGGCTGTCATCACTGGGACACCAAACAGCAACCAACACTGGTAAGAACGCGGGAGGAAAGGAACCTTTCCTTTATAGTCTGGGAGGCTATGGAAAGTAGCCCGGCCACTATGGAAATCAGTATGGAAACTGGGGAAAGAATTGCCGTATGGCCCTGCTGAGACAACGACCACATTTTTTCTAGTGTGTGCAATTTAGAGGGAAAGAAAGAGGAGAGCAAAGGGGAGGCTATCCTGAGCATGAAGCGGGGGAGAGGAAGAAGGCAAGAAAGGATAATAAGGTGCATGGGTATGATAAAAGTATATGAAAAGCATACGTGGAACTATCCTAATGAAACCCATTACTTTGTACAAATACATTAATTTTAGAACGAGTCTAGGGCCCAGATTGATTAATTGTTCCTATTTCATACAGTAAGTAAGAGCCGGGAGATGTGCCAAGAAGTCAAGCTTCTCTAATGAGACTTTAACCACTGTGTCATGCCACCTTCCCCGCCTCAGTGCTGGCCACGAGCTGAAATGCTGCTTCCTCCCCATGGCCAAACACTGTGCTGCCAGACTGTCTCACTGCATCTCACGATGGTATAAAAAAGTAGACAACTGTAATTTTGTTGTTGCTGTTGTTGTTGTTGTTTGGTTTTTTCAAGACAGGGTTTCTCTGTATAGCTTTGGACCCTGTGCGGAACTCACTCTGTAGACCAGGCAGGCCTCGAACTCACAGAGACCCACCTGGCTTTGCCTCCCAAGGGCTGGGATTGAAGGCATGTGCCACCACTGCCTGGCAACGACTGAAACTCTTGTGACTAGAAGTCAAGTTCACTATCAAGGGGCTGTAATTCTAAGTCCATCAGTCCTCCATAACCGCAAGCTACACATCAGTGAGTTCAATAAAGAAAATTAAATTTTTTTTTTCAAATTTGTGTCTGAACTGAAAATTTATAAACAATACATAGGATTTACATTGCATTAAGTATTAAGACAAATTTAGACATGATTTAAATTTTATAAGAGGGTGTGCCTATGTTGTATGCAAATACTGTGTTATTGGACACAATGGACTTAAGATCTGTGAATTTGGTATGTGGAGTTCTGGAGCCAAGCTCCGATGGCTACCAAATAACAAATGGTGTGCACCAGAGGGACCATGTTTTACTTCACTTCAGGTATCCAAAGTCTAACCACCACCTAGTTAGTACAAAGCAAGTGACCAAGAGATGCTTACACAGCAAATCTCTGATTAGACGCATAGGTGATGTGCCACCTAGACTGTTAAAGCTGAAGCTCACAGGGCTGGTAGGATGGCAGTGGGACCTCCCTTCAACCAGTCCATTTGCTGCAACATAGAGGCTGCCTGTGTGGGAGGGGCAGAACGGGACCAGCGGATCTCAGAAAATCAGTGCACCAGCAAAGCTTCCAGATGTCAGTCAACAGGAGCCCAACCCTGGCCAGTTACGGTGAAATGTAAATTCAATAAAAGCCACCGGTAATGCACAGAATCAACACAGCGGCTAAAGAAAGGCTCTCAACACTTTGCACAGCCTTGGTGCAGGGAGGAGGGGCTTGGACCTGCCTCAACTGAATGTACCAGGCTCTGCTGACTCCCCAGGGGAGACCTTGCCTTGGAGGG